CAGAACAGTGTGGAAGTCATTCTGGTCACTTCAATAAACTGCCTAACGACCCACGATAGTCGTGGAACAGACCCGTCCTCTCCTGAGTCTGAACTGACGTTGGTGGTGGACCATAGAAGAAGTCGACTATCAGCTATTACTAATGTATTACTAATCCTAATCCTTGGCCTAACTCTACAGTAATCTGACTCCAAACTAAATCTTGAGCTACAATATATTCTGACTTGATAGGGACCTCCAAAGGTTTGTATGTTGTACTGTTGTAGTGTTAATACTGTTCTAGTTCACGTCATTATGTGTGGTCTTGACCTCAATAAGATTTAACATCTAATTATTCAGAGTTTTCCTGTTCCTTGACTCTGATCCAACCTCCAGTCCATCACAGCTTCATGAGGAGGCAATCATTCACACTCACATTTACACTTACATTCACACTAACACCCAGTCAAAACTGAAGAATCAATCCAATCCAATGAACCTAATGTATTTAATCTAACCCTGAAACTCTGCAGCACACACTGAGGAGACCATGTAAACTACATACATAAAGATAGGAATCGAACCAGCAAACTGGTGATTTTCTTGTTAGCCAAGAGCACCAACTCGTTTTTCCACTGTGTGGTTGTCAGTTTTAGCTGAACATAAAACAAACTCTCCTTCAGGAAAAGGAACAGGGAACAAACGTAGACGTGGTTAATAATCAATACATCTATACGTTTTATATATTAATTATATGTTTACGACCTTGGCTTGAATTCTGACACGATGCCTAGCCTTAGAGAATAGAGGAGAGACCCAGTAAGGAGAGGAGAGGAGAAAGGGTGTTGTTGGAGAGAGTGAGTAAGTGAGAGAAATAAAAGAGGAGGAGGAGGGAGATGAAGAAACAGAGGGATGCAGTGCACAGAGCAGCAGGTTGCTATAACAACAGCACCTTAGTGGCTCCATCTTCGTCTTTCGTCCCTCCCTCCCTCTCGTCCTCTCTGATCACCCTCTCATCGTTTGCTCCCCGCTGTCATCTGGCGGCGGGTGCGCGCCGTGGCTTTCCATCACCTATCTCTACCTCCTCCACCTCCACTCTCCTTCACTGTCGTCTCCTCCCCTCCTCTTTATCTTCATGATCCGGTTGCTCCTCCATTCAAAGCGGGGGTGGGAGGGGTAGAGGGTGGGGGGCATCTGCCTAAGAAATAAATCCATTCTCCTCCTCTTTCTTTTACCTTTGTCTCCCCCCCCCCCCCCCCCCCTCCCCCCTCCCCCCCCCCCTCTCCCCCTCCCCCACCTCGTCTCTCCGCGG